CTACTGCTACTGCTCTGCTGCTGCTGCTGCTCCTCCTCCTACTGCTACTACTACTACTACGACGACGACGACGACTACTACTACTACTACGACCGCTGCTACGCATATGGCCACAGCTTCTACTATTATGTCCACTCCGGCTATTGCTCCGGCTGCTAGTACAGTGGCAGTAGCCGTAGCCCTAGCCCGTAGCCATAGGAGAAGGAGAAGTGTGCTCTGGAGGCCTACTGTCAGGCTAAAGAGCTATCACTGCAGCACCGCTTTGAGAAAATCTGGTCGTTGCTACTATAGCTTGTTGTGGCTTACCAGCAGAATGGCAGAGTACCCGACACGTGACAGGTCCTTCGCGAGTCGATGCTCGAGGCGAAGCCTCTCAGCGCAAGCAGCAGCTCAGCGAGAAGTGAAAGAAAACATGGAACAATAGAACATCCTCAGGTGGACTTGAATATTCCAAGCGGTCATGCTGGTTCCTACTCTTCTGGAGAGTTTGTGTATATCCACAGCAGCCACAAAGCTTTGACAGCCGGCAGCTGGTGAAATAAGACAACAGGAGTGAAGCAAAGTAGTGTGCGTCGGTTTCCGTAGCACGCAGAACTCGATATAGTATGTATGTACGTATGTATGTATGTCATGAATGCCATGCTAGAAACTGATCATCTCGAGCTGAGGTGGTACAACAACAGCACCCCAAGTGGGGCCCAGTGGCCAGGCTTCGCGCCTGCTAAGTCTGCTTGGGCTTTTCTTTCCTAGGGTGTACGGGTTGGCCTTCCCGGTTCGGGGTTTAGGCCTGGGCACTCAGCTACATCGTTGTACTTGCCGTGGAGTCTGCTGGTCGTGGGCTTCTGCAGGCAATAAAGTTTCCGGCTTCCGGTTCTTGCCTTCAGCTGGGTAGGGTGCCCCTCTAGTTTCGTCATCTCTCATGCACCACACCAGGTCACTAGGGAAATGTGAGAGCCAGGCCAGCACAAGTGAGACAAGCTCGCTGGCCGAGAGCTGGGCTACTTGGCTTGGCACGTACTTGGGACTTCGCTGAGCTCTTGGCTCTCCGCATGTTGATCAGACGCCCCGTAAGCAGTTGGAATCGCCACAGCATATCAGAGAAGGAGTCGGGAGGCCGACAGACGGTGGTGAGGGTGGAGAGTGCTTTGAGAAAGAATGGGGCGGCAAAATGGTGCCGTGATACCGTCTCGCGTGTTCTGCCCAATAAGTTCTACCGAGACATAGCCAATCCGAGGTCATTGACACTCTGAAAAAGACGCTCCTCGCAGAGAGGCAGGACATGGGGATTATGATAGGTCCGATAGGTGGCCCGGCAAATTTGTCACGACATTTAAAAGCGTCGGACGTCATGCATGAACTGGCTCGAAGTATCGCGAAGTCGGCGTTCGTTTGCGAGGCCCTCTGCCAGTACCAGCGGTGCGACGATCACTGGTGGAGATAAGGCCGGTGCCGAGGTTTCCTGACCCTCGACCACAAAAATGCAGCCAGTCACGCAGTACTACATAATACGCATGAAGGGAAGGAGGGGGGAGGGGAGGGGCCCCAATACCAGTCGGCAAACCTGGAGCGACGTCGCGACAGGGATACATACAGATGTGTCCAGGTATAGCATGTTATATGCTTTGTGTTGCTTCTAGAGTTGTCGCAATTACCGAGTTGACGTCGTGGGTTCTTTCTACGGCTCAATGCGAATGTCCAGCCAACAGACGGGCGTCCCCAACGGGGGTTCGCCCTCACAAGAGAGAGAGAGAGAGAGAGACTCTGTGTAGGGGGGAAACCTCCTGCACCACAGCCCTGGCGAAAGAAAGAAAGAGAGACTCTGCGACCGTGCCTCCTCACGGGTCCGATTCACTCGGACCTGAACCCAACAGAAGGAAGGAAGGAAGGAAGGAAGGAAGGAAGGAAGGAAGGAAGGAGGGAAGGAAGGAAGGAAGGAAGGAAGGAAGGAAGGAAGGATTTTTGCATGGACGGGTGTGCACGCGCGCGTGTGTGTGTGTGTGGG